GCAACTATAAAACATCATTATATACAACTTTTATGTTTTAACCCAAGGCTAATTCTGCCTCTAACTAGGATAAACAGTACCAGACAGAATGGGGTTAATTGAAACCCTAATTCCGAAATTTCCTTTCAAAGCGGAAATTTTCCGCAAATAGCCACAATTTACGCACCCTAGTTTCATTCTAAGCTATCCCAAGTCATCATCCATGGCCATACAATATTAAACATATGAAAACAGAAAAATTCAAGAATAAATATAAAAGTCACCAATCTCAACTAAAAGTCATGAAATCTTTCACCAAATCACATCTTTGACTAACACAAGCTACCGATTTAACATTAGCAAGACCAAAGAATGAACTCCTTAGCTACTCACCTTGCAACTCAAGAGAAGAGCCAACTAAGCACCTTTGTTTCTCAAACCACTTCACCAACTACCTCAAGACCATTTAGCAAAGGAATTTTATTGAGTGATTTGAAGTTTTATCGGTTTGATTTGAAGATTGGAGCAAGATTATGAAGTAGGAAGTTGGAGGATTTTTTTCTTTTCTTGAGCAAGAGGTTCGGCCAAAGGGGAGAAAAATGTGATGAATTTTTGGTCAAATTTTGATTAAATGGTAAAGTAGGAAAGTTAGTCAAAGTCCAAGAATAAATGGCATGGTGACACTTGTCACCTTTTGGCCCTAAAGCTTATCCTTTTTCCCTCCAATGCTAATCCAACAATAATACAACTAAGTAACCTCTAATTATCTCTTATCACCTAGTACATTAATCTCGGTATACAAAACTTAACCTAATTGGTCGAATTTTATCAACTTACCGCACTAGTGGGTCCCACAACCGGTATACGCTCTTAATTTCTCAAAAACTAATTAATACTAGAAAAATAATTCTAGAACTATATTTACTCATAAAAATTATCTAGAAAATTTTCCTAATAAAGAAAATGCAGAATAACATGCAATTAATTAACATAAAACCTAGAAAATAAGAAAATGTACGGGTTCTCACACACTACCTAATGTCAAGGTTCTTGAGAACCCATCAACAACCCAACAACTATCTTGTTATCACTAACTAACTACTAACTTACTACTATGAATTGAAGAGGAAAAGTTGAGGGTTTCATGGAGGTTTACCTTGCTGCCCAAAAGGAAGAGTAAACACTAGGGATTTGAGCTTCTAAATCACCAAGTTTCTTCCTTGATCAAGTCCTCTTCCAAGCTTGTATGAAAACCCAAGACAAGAAGAAAGTGTGGAGAGCTTTCTTGGAGCAACAATGGAAGAAGCAAGCTGAAATTTTTTGTTGAGAAGTGGGAGGGGGATGGCCAACCAAAGAGGGAAGAGGGAAAAGGGTTTGGTGGCTTTTGGTTGATGTGATTTGATAAGAAAGGTGCCACGACATAAAGTTCTCTTGGGTACAAAAAGTCAATACTTGAATAGTAGACTATTAGTGCTCCAAATTGAGTTTAATTTAATTCACTCACATCTAATCCCTCAATTAGTTTTTCTTAGTCCACTAATGATCATCCTTAATTCTCCAACATTATTGCACTCTCGGACTGAATTTACCTCGAAAAACATGCATGCACTATTTCTTGCTAAACGAGTCGCAGAAAAATTAAATTTGCTAACGAAACGTTTTAAAAATATAAATGAGACATTTTTGTGTACAAATGGATTTGAAATGAATGAAATAAATTATTCAAATAAAACGGATAAATAAATAATTAAATAAGCTAGTAAAATGAAATAAAAATAAGTAAAATAAAAATTCGGGTCCTCACAGATTATTTATGTAAGCAAAGCAATTTTCAACCTATCAAATCATAATTTTCTTTGTGTAAAAAGCTTGAGTCCTAGTTTTGGTGTTAAAAATTTGTATCACATAATATATAATTTCTCCATACCAAATAATTGTTGCAAACTCCTATTCTTAAAATGCCTTCGATGGAATGAAAAGTTCATTTTACACCCAAAATATAATTACTTAAAACTACAGTACTAGCATAACAAATGAACTTTAAAATACACAAGAAAAGTAAAAGTACACTAACATGAAATGAAATGAAATAATAAAAAATATTGGGTTGCTTCCCAATAAGCACTTCTTTATAGTCATTAGCTTGACTATTCTTGCATCCTTGTCAAGGTGGCTTTGTCAATAAGTAATCCACCAATTTTGGATAGGGTGGATTAACAAATGTTGGCTCCACATCATGAGCCCTATCTCCGCATGATTTGAGAGTCGGAATTAGCTTACCAATCTTAAGTGCTTCATAAATATTATCTTGTATTTCCACCACTTGAGAACTCCGCATAACTTACTTGGGTGATTATGGCTTTGGAACCTACACTTTCAAAACACTCCTCAAGAGAAATTAAATAAACATCATTCATGGTTTCCTCTTGAGATTCACAATTAATTCCAAAGACATTATCAAGTGAAATGGATATTTCCTCATTAAAGCACATATTTGATGCTTCATTATAATCAAAATGCATTCCATTTTCATATGTGATATTTCTACCATTGAATTCACTATCCTTGGATGAAATAGCTTCCTCTATAACATTCAAATGCTCTTGTATTCTACCAAAGTATGAAACCAATTCATATAACCTATTCTCAATTCTATCGAAATGGCCGGAAGTCTCATTAGCTAGTTTTTTAATAGCTAACTCCTAAGATAGCTTTGATTAATATTGGACATACGTGGGTTGGTAATCATAACAAAATTAAAGAATCACTATATGCACATTGATTATGCCAACCATATTCATAAAAATACCCCAATTAGGGTTGCATTGATCAAAACAAGAATTATAATGCCCAAATTTACTATAGTAATCCATATTTTGTACTTGCATACATTCATAAGTAGCATGATATTCTCGACACAATTCACAAATCACATGATTAAAATCGAAAGTATTGACATTCCTCTTTTGTTCATGCATCGAAAGTTTTGACATTCCTCTTTTGTCATGCATGAACAAAAATTGGTGCATAGATGTCTGAATATAGCCTTCATGCATAGATGTCAACATGTCCAAGTTAAGCATGATATAATTTCCTAATACATGTGAAACCTACTCTCGTAGTGAATCAACTATATTAGTAGCTAATCCATACATACTCTCGTGGTTATGCAATTAACTACAAGTTCATTTCTTCTATGAAATTACATGGACCAATCTACCAAAACCACATAGGTGCACCTCTACTATCATGAGTGTACTCCCTAAGTTTAACACTTCCTTAAACTAGTGTCAAATCCCAATTTTTATTATAAAATTTACACCTTAAGATTATCACAATTAATTGCCTATTAATCACGATTAGAAAAGCAAAAATGCTAAATAATTTATTCAAAATATAGTATCAAATAATCAAGTAAACATCACAAATAAGATATAGAAAGTTCATCTACAACTCTAGGGATATACTTTATCAACACATAATGAATTTAAGATCCAAACTTAGATAATAACTAAACAATAGAATCAAGGACAAAAGATAAAGAATTTGGCAAGAAATGCCACCCTTGTCGCATGAGTTCATCTTCTCCAGCTTCATCTCCTTCTTCATCTTTGCCTAGCTAATAAACAAGAAGAGATAAACTACCTAACCTAAACTATACTACACTATCTAGGCTTAGTAAGATATGAGAACCACATCTTGAAGTGAATAAATATTTTCACACCTCCAAACTTAGTTCCCAAATGAAGCAACAAGCCCTATATATAGAGAAAATTCTCTACAAGCTTCCAAAGCTTCATCTTTCCATGACACCAAAATGTCTTTACCTCCAATGTGAAAGCTTAACAAAGAATCTTCAAAAAGTCCACAAAAATGCTAAAAATTGATTCCAATTAATGAATGTTGTTAAATGTTGACAAAAGTGATTGTCTAGTTCTTTGAATCTTGCCATTAAGTTGATTTTCTAGCTCAAAAGTGAAATGAAGAAAGATGCATCAAGAAGGATAGAGTTGCACAAGTTGTGCAAGTTGCATTGTAGCGTTTTAGACAAGAAACCAGACCTTGAAACTGCACCTTGGACAAGAACCAGTTTGGAGAATCGGTTTCTTCTTTGACAAGAAATTCCAATCAGTTTCAAAACCATGCTGGCCCCAAACCGCTGGTCAAACCATTTTTGGTCAAAAATAGTTTCTTCCCCTGTATTTTAGCCTATGAAAATGGACAAATCAGCTTTGTGCTAAACACAAAATTTGTAGCCCCTTGAGTTGAGTTTCGAACACTCAAGAATTAGGACAATGGGAAGCCTAGATGTTGAGATGTGATCAAAATATTGAAACTGGTTGCATTAGCATTGTAGTAGAAACTTGCTTCAGTAATTCGTGACTGTGAAATCATGAGAATTGGGTGTTGATTCTCATAAGAATTATAGTGCATTGTCTTAGCTTAAAAATAAATCAAGAATCATTTCAATCTAATCTTTGTAACTCAAGTTATGGCTAAAACACTGAAATGTATGATGTTCTCCAATCCCTTTTCCTTCTTGTTTCTTTATTATATCATCATTTGTACTTCATGTCTACTTGAAATCATCTTCAAATCTAAACAACGAAATGCAACTTTTGATTATAAACTTGATTATTTAACTCTAAAATCTTAAAATTCTAGTAAATTAATATTACAATTCTCACAATATAGTAGATATTTAAGACCACAACCTCAACCTTATAGTAGCCTCCCGTGCCTATTTCGATTTGGCCTTCTTTTCTTTACATTATGAGCTTCCTAATCATCTGAAAATATTTTTAAACGTTTGGTGAGCTTTTATTGCTTAGTGAGAACTTGTGTACAAGTTAATTTTCTCAGAAACAAAATTAATTTTCTTTTTACAAGATTATTTTTAATGACGAAACAAGTTTTTGTGAAATATAATATAGATATGTCTAGTCACCAAAGAGTAGCTTGTAATAGTGGGTATAGAGTAAATTTTCACAATCTAATATATTTGGATGCTAACTAATAGCATGTACCAGAAGGTACATAATAGAATTTCCAAAATTCAAGGTATATATCAAGATAAGAAATATTACCCAAACTTGGTTGGTTCAACTAACCTAAAATCAATCCTATCATCTCGAATGTGCATGCACGTCTTTTGGGACTACCTCAACACATTATTTGATATAAGGTACAAAATGGAATATCCAAAATATCCCCAATTTTCCATATCTTAACAAGACTAAAGCTCCTATTCTTGCCAGAGAAGTGCATCAAAGTGGTTTAAGTTAATTATTGACCCAATGCCATCCCAACTAATATTAAACCAACGACTAACAAGGACCCAACCTTCCTAGTGTAACTAGGTTCACAGCCTCCGCAGAAAATACCCAGGTTCATATTTCAAAATAATGCCAGTAACATACTTAATCACTAATAGAGTGAAGAATAGATATAGCAGACAAAATAAAAGAACAAGGAAAAAGGATGAAATGTAATGAAGTAATCCAAGAACATCCCCAACTGCTAGGGTTTCTCTCGGCGAACTGCACTGCCCTGCGGCTAAGGGCATGGGGCTTCTCCCTCAGCAAAGAAATCCTTCTCTCAATTATTTTCACAGCCTGCTACATCCCCCATTCAGATTCGGCCTGCGACGGTATATAAAGGTGAAGCTGCGGTGGTATTCTCCAAAGAAGATGCAGATAGACTTGCCGCGCCGTTTCGCTGGGCTCTTGTTGGAAAATTTTTGCATGGTCGGCCTGCTTTAGAGGAGGTTCGGAAGTTCTTTGCGACACTGAATTTGAGGGATCATGTCTCGGTTGGGCTGATGGACTACAGGCATGTGTTGATCAAATGTGCAGCGGAGGTAGACTTCAATAGGATCTGGACAAGAGGTATTTGGCAGTTAGGAAAATTTCCGATGCGCGTCTTCCGGTGGACAAGGGAGTTTCATTTGCACAAGGAGTCTTCCCTGGTTCCGACTTGGGTGGCTCTACCAGCTCTACCGATTCATTATTTTGACAAGCACTCATTGTTCTCAATTCTTTCTCCCATCGGCAGGCCTCTCTTCTTGGATGCGGCAACGGCTGCCGGCACCCGACCGAGTGTGGCTAGGGTGTGCGTGGAAATTGATGTTGCCAAGCCAGTTGCTCAGAGGATTTGGGTGGCCGTCGAAGGAGAGCAAGGATTCTGGCAGAGCATTGTCGCGGATTTGCCGGCGTATTACTTTTTCTGCTGGCGAGTGGGTCACTCCAATGAAGAGTGCAAGACGAATTCTTCTGAGTTCGCAGTTCGGCACCAGCAAAATCGAATCGCGAGAAGGCAGGACCAGCAGGTGGTTGGCCAGGTGCGAAGGACTATCCTGGCTAAGGACACTGAAGCTATGCAGGCGGCTGTAGGAGCACCAGCTGCAGCAGAGGGGAACCAGTCTCTTGGGCCTGGTGTGCGAGCTGTTACAGAAGCCGTACCTCAGCAGGGCAGTGCGTCTAGGAGTTGCGCAATGGACATTGTAGCGGCTGGGGTGGAGGGGCATTGCGTCGGTGTGACCTGCGAAGGCAGTGGTCGTGTGGCAGATTGTGAGGGGGTGGAGGGAGTTTTGGAAGGGCGGGAAGAAGGGGTTGCTGCAACAACAGATGGGCCGCGTCAGGAGGAGCAGCAAGTCCTCTCGGCGCTATCTTTGGGGGCTGGGCATCAGCCCCAAGCTGAGGGGCAGCAGTGTCTTCTCCACGAAAGGGATTTGGAGAGCATGGGTGCCACATTGAATATGGAGGATGTGACGACCCCACTTCTCCCAAGGGCGAACCCAAGGGTATCGGCGGGCCGCCTACCTAGCTCACGCCAGGACTCAAAACTTAAAGTAATAAACTAGAGAAATCGAAAGAGCACTATATACATTATATACAATCCCCAAAAGTTCTAATTACATTCTCCAAAAGTACCTGCTCACACTATTACATCCTTATTACTACAACCAAAACCAAAATGTAGACCCTAAGGAGGATCCTTATACAAACCACCAAAACTAAAACAAAAACAAACATACTATGTCCAACTATTACAATCAAACCTAACTATGCTAGGGTACGTGCCAAAAGTCCCCGCGTCGGCCCCTGCTAAGGAAAACAAAAGGGAAGGGGTAAGCTATATACTTAGTAAGTAAATAGGGGCGGAAGCATAAATTTCACGTACAATAGTTACACAGTAAGAGTAAAGCAAAAGCAGAAAAATAACTTCACATAATAAGGATACAGGTGGCTCCAAAGCCAGATCGTTTGCCGTGTGTGACCTCCTGCCGACACTCCGTCGACCTCAAATAGTGGTCCGTAGAACTTCACTTATACCCCCACCGTACACCTTATCACCCTCACTGGCCAGGCACCTCACAAACTTGCTCGAGCGAACGAAATTGAGCTTGGTTCACAAGCTCGGGTCACAAACTTGGTCCACATAATCAGTGAACCGGATTCACAAACTTGGTGACCTCAAACCAGGTTGGACTGACTTTGACCAAGCCCTAACCGGCTCGAATAGTCCATCTGGGATTGAGATCGGGCCCCAAACTCACAAACTTCATAAAATGTATTCAAAAGTCACCCCGAGCCACAAGCTCAAGGGGTTTAGATCCAAAATGATTCATATACATATGTCAAGTACAAATATGTGCGCAAACTAGGGTTTAGGTCGAGTGCGATAAAGTACACCCTCGCCTAGGTACCCTTTTCATACTTATCAAAACACATAAACAACTAACACGTAAAAGCGGCCTGAATACTTACACAACGAACAAAAGAGCAAATTTCGAAATTTGTGCCACGAAGAGTAGCTAGTAGGCCCCACCGGCACCACCTAGCTCACCACCGTCTGAAATAGAAGATTACGTCATATAATATCATAAACGGCTACTAATATACCTAAAACAAGCAAAACGGCAAAATCGGCACATGTAAGTGCGGAAACGGCAAAACGAAAATGGAAATGGCGGCCTAGCCATTTTGCCGTCAAAAATGTTTTGAGCCTAATCGAAGCTATGAGTGTCAGATCAAGGTACATGAGGTAGCGTTGTGAAGCTAAGAGGAAGGGCTACAATTTTCATGAAGACACCTAAATCCGGATCTGAACAGAAATAGGTCGAAAGTGCAGAAAACCGTTCCAGGAATTTGCACTCCAGAGTAACGGACAGGGTATGTTTGCTGGACTATAACTCCCAGCTCACAAATCCAAATCAGGAAATTCCAAAGGCATTAGAAATCTGGGACATAAGGCTAAACCTTTGATGTTTTGGCCAAGACCTGAATCCACTCAGAACAGAACGAAATTTGAGTGTCAAAGTACTCGTCAGAACTGTCCAGATTCAAGGCAGTTCTGACGATCAATTTTTTTTTGGTCATAACAGGAGCTACGGAACTCGGATTTCGACGCACTTTATACCGTTTCGAAGCCAAAACCAAGATCTAAATTTCTTATGAAGGAATCACCACCCAGATCGTACGGTATCAAAACCGAAAAAGTCACGGGCAGAAGCTAAACTAAAAAACGCACAGAACCTGATGTTCAAAACAGGCTTGAGTATTTCATCTATAACTCATGATACACTTATCCGTTTAACCTGAAAGTTTACAGACATATTCAGAACTTAAGAGGCTACAATGTTGAAGAAGGCCACTCAGTCAAATTTCGAGTGTAACTACTTCAAAAATGTAACATACTACACCAGAATCGCAAAACAGGTTCACAAACCGTAATCTAGTACAAACATCATAAAACAGCCTACATAAGTCCAAATCCAGAAATTCCAAAGCCATACGAAAGCTTAGAAACAGGGATACATTCTATCAGAAGGCCTCAACAACAAATTCTGAAATAGTCCAAACCAAAATAACCAATTACAATCGCAGTTCTCAGGTTCGGGTAGAAACAGGACAGCAAGGGTAATTTCGACTTTTCACATTATACGCTACTCCGATTGTCCTGAAATTTTTCAGGCACCTCTAAAATATCATTAACTACAACTTTCATGTTTTCAGTTAAGGCCAATTCGGCCTCTAACCAGGAGATACAAAACCGGACAGAATTGAAGGGTATGAAACCCTAGTCTTCCAAATTTCCCTCCAAACCAAAAAGTGCTTGCAATTAACAATCATTTACACCTACTAGCCTCATTTTAGGCCATTGCCAATCATCATACAAGGCCACACCATCAATTTCATATATAAACCGAAAAATCACCAATAAATGGAAAACTTCACCACTTCATCCAAAATCAAGAAATAAACCACAAAATTCAACATTTTAACTACCACTAAGCACAAATTAAGCTTCATTAAGTGAAGGAGAAGGTTCATTCACTACTCACCTAGTAAAACAAGAGAGGGAGAGTTGCTTGTCACCTTAACTTCCCCAAACACTTCACCAAACCACTTACTATCACCAAATGGAAAGGTTTTATGGAGTAGAAACAAGATCAAATGGTTGGATGATTACACTTAAGCAAGATGGAAGCAAGAACCTTGAAGAGTTTTCTTTCTTCTTTGCTCAAGGTGGCCGGCCACAATGGAGAAGACAAGAGTGAATTTTTGGTGATTTTTGAGATATTTATTCAACTGGTAAGAAAAGTCAAAAAGGTGAATAGTGTCCAACAAGTGAAACCAATCACCAAGTGACACTTGTCACTCCATAAAAGCATCCCAATCCTTTTGTTTCCTCTCACATCAATCACATCTCATCCTCTACCTATCTCTTAACACCCGATAAATTAAACCCAGTATCCGAAACTTAACGTAATCGGCCGAATTTTTCCGAACTTACCGCACTAGTGGTTCCCACATCCGATATACGTTCTTAATTTCTCAAAAACTAACCGATACTAGAAAAATAATCTAAAATCTATATTTACTCATAAAAATTATCTAGGGAATTTTTCTAATAAAGAAAATGTGGAAAAAGGCGGGCGATAAATAAAACTCTACTTAAGCTTTCTAATATTGTAACACTAGAGGATTGCTAATCCAGAGTTTGCCAACCATTTTTAAACTTGTTAACCCTCTGGAAACTATAACGAATCCTACTTTTACTTGTGCCAAAACACACACTAGAATACCGCATATAAACTATAGCTCGAGCTTACGAATAATACATAAACTAAGGTTTTATCATAAGCAAGGTTTTCAATCTTAGCCGAGATTAGGGTTTCTCCTTAGCCCTAAAACCTTAATTTAACCGTACAAAATAATGAATAACCCCAATATCAACTTACGAACGGACTGGGGCCTCACAATCTCCCCCACTTAGGACAATTTCGTCCTCGAAATTAATTCTGTGGTCAAAGCGTACCTTCGAAACCCGCCGAGGGATCAGTCACCTCTTGTTGACCCATTGCATACACTCTTGCTGGCCCTTTGAGTCGATTTTCCCCGGCATTCATCAGCTTAGTTGTGGTCCCTTCAGTCGGTGGCTTGGGTCCTTCCTTCTGCATTTTAGGGCACCGGGCAATCAGATGTTCGGTGCTACCACATTTGAAGCATTTTCGTACCGAACTATTTTTCCAGCAATTTTCATCGGTGTGATTGCCCCCACAGAAACCACAGGTTGGTTTAGTGGCCGTACTTGACCCTCCACGTTGGCCACTCTTCTGGGGCTCTTGCACTGTCTGACCTCGCCCTCGCCCAAAGCTATTCAGGGTTCTTGTAGGTCGCGGACCATCTGTGCCTTTACTCGTCTTAGCTGGTGGCTCGTTTCGCGAACTCTGTCGAACCGTTGAGTCATTCAAACTGGGTTGCCTCCTTTTCCGGTCATAGAAGGCTTTAACCTGTCTCCTGGCAGTCTCAATCCGCTGTGCTTTTTCTAGTGCTTGGCTAAAGGTGTCTAGCTGTGCAGCCGCCAGTGCTTCCTGGATTTCCACGTTTAAGCCTTGGGTAAAGCGGCGAATTCGCTTTTGCTCCGTCAGCACCAGCTCGGGGGCAAAACGGGAAAGTTTCGTAAACTGAGTTTCGTATTCCGCCACACTCGATGCCCCTTGACGTAGGCGGATGAAATCATCTTCCCGTTTTTCTTGCACAATGGGTGGTAAATATTTTTCATTAAATTCCCGTGTAAAGTTGATCCAGGTCCAGGGGGTTTGTTCGCGCTCCCACTTGGTTTTAATCACGTTCCACCAGGCTCGGGCGGCCCCTTCAAATTGAAAAGCAGCAAAGGATATCTGCCGTTCCTCCGAGTACCTAAGCGTGGCAAAAATACCTAGCATACGGTCCATCCAACCCTCCGCTAGGTCAGGGTCGGGTCCACCTACAAACTTAGGGGGCGCAAATTTTTGGAACCGTTCTAAAGCACGGTCCTCTCCTTCATGATTACCCGGATTATTTCCAGGGTTTCCAACAGCATTCCCATGGCCCTGACCCTGATGGTCGACCATACGTTCTAGCAAGTCAGCCATCCGCTGAATGGCTGTAGCTACTTGATATGGTTCTTGTCCTTGTTCCCTTTCAGGGCTTCGTGCTCGCCCTCTACCTCCACCTCGAGTACCGGAGGCCATTTAAGCGCAAAAGTCTATAGATCGGAACATTACGTATACTTATTATCCAAGTTATGAGCAAAAATACGGACGTAAATCTTATGCACAGAAAACACACAAAAGATAAGTTCAAAATGCTTTTCAAATATATACATATATTTACAAAGTCACACCAAAAGATTTACACATTACCGACCTCCAGTCGGTACAAAACCCAATGTACACATGAGCACTGGCTCCAAAATCTAGTCGGCCAACCAAATAACAAAAGAAAGCAGTCATGCTAGTTCTAACAAAAGTCATACACTAGCTAAACAAAAGTATAAAAGCGACCCTAATCGCCTCCCCTAGGGCCCAGGTTCCCAACGGAACCTAACGTGTCCACCTCGTCCATCCTCTCTGGACCGGTGGCTCGTGGCGGTGCCTCTGCGGCTAGATCTAGTAGGAGCTCGCAGTCGACAGACATACTCCGGGCCCTATCCCTCAGCTGCCTCTTCATAGCGAAGAGGTGCTGGTGTGTGTCCTGAAGCTGACGGCGTAAAGCGTCCGTCCTCTCTCTCTCCTCTCGGAGACCCTGCTCCAAATCCCTAATACGTATCGCCTGCCCAAGGCCAACCTCTCTAGCCTCGTCTAACTGTCTAAGCAGGCTGCGTCGCTCGTCGTCCACAGCCAGGACGACCTCGTCGGGATAACAGTATGTGTACCAACATCCACAAGGTCGGTGCGCCACCTGACCAAAAGGGGAGCATAAAGCGTAAGGCTCTCCAGGTCTCTGCCGATAGCGGATCGCCCGCTTACGCAGCACTCGATCCTCTACGCCTCTCGTACTCGGAAATCTCGGTCCCACGCCACTGGGTCCCGCACCCCGCGAACTGCCCGGATACATACCTACAAAACATTAATTCGTCAGTTCACCGGCATTTCAGCTTAAAGTATATCATTCAACTTAAAAGGGTCACATATGCCTAGTGCCTATCGCGTATGTCCCACATGCCCAAGTCCTCTAACCTAGGCGCTCTGATACCAACTGTGACGACCCCACTTCTCCCAAGGGCGAACCCAAGGGTATTGGCGGGCCGCCTGCCTAGCTCGCGCCAGGACTCAAAACTTAAAGTAATAAACTAGAGAAATCGAAAGAGCACTATATACATTATATACAATCCCCAAAAGTTCTAATTACATTCTCCAAAAGTACCTGCTCACACTATTACATCCTTATCACTACAACCAAAACCAAAATGTAGACCCTAAGGAGGGTCCTTATACAAACCACCAAAACTAAAACAAAAACAAACATACTATGTCCAACTATTACAATCAAACCTAACTATGCTAGGGTACGTGCCAAAAGTCCCCGCGTCGGCCCCTGCTAAGGAAAACAAAAGGGAAGGGGTAAGCTATATGCTTAGTAAGTAAACAGGGGCGGAAGCATAAATTTCACGTACAACAGTTACACAGTAAGAGTAAAGCAAAAGCAGAAAAATAACATCACATAATAAGGATACAGGTGGCTCCAAAGCCAGATCGTTTGCCGTGTGTGACCTCCTGCCGACACTCCGTCGACCTCAAATAATGGTCCGTAGAACTTCACTTATACCCCCACCGTACACCTTATCACCCTCACTGGCCAGGCACCTCACAAACTTGCTCGAGCGAACGAAATTGAGCTTGGTTCACAAGCTCGGGTCACAAACTTGGTCCACATAATCAGTGAACCGGATTCACAAACTTGGTGACCTCAAACCAGGTTGGACTGACTTCGACCAAGCCCTAACCGGCTCGAATAGTCCATCTGGGATTGAGATCGGGCCCCAAACTCACAAACTTCATAAAATGTATTCAAAAGTCACCCCGAGCCACAAGCTCAAGGGGTTTAGTTCCAAAATGATTCATATACATATGTCAAGTACAAATATGTGCGCAAACTAGGGTTTAGGTCGAGTGCGATAAAGTACACCCTCGCCTAGGTACCCTTTTCATACTTATCAAAACACATAAACAACTAACACGTAAAAGCGGCCTGAATACTTACACAACGAACAAAAGAGCAAATTTCGAAATTTGTGCCACGAAAAGTAGCTAGTAGGCCCCACCGGCACCACCTAGCTCACCACCGTCTGAAATAGAAGATTGTGTCATATAATATCATAAACGGCTACTAATATACCTAAAACAAGCAAAACGGCAAAATCGGCACATGTAAGTGCGGAAACGGCAAAACGGAAACGGAAATGGCGGCCTAGCCATTTTGCCGTCAAAACTGTTTTAAGCCTAATCGAAGCTATGAGTGTCGGATCAAGGTACATGAGGTACCGTTACGAAGCTAAGAGGAAGGGTTACAATTTTCATGAAGACACCTAGATCCGGATCTGAACAGAAATAGGTCGAAAGTGCAGAAAACCGTTCCAGGAATTTGCACTCCAGAGTAACGGACAGGGTATGTTTGCTGGACTATAACTCCCAGCTCACAAATCCAAATCAGGTAATTCCAAAGGCATTAGAAATCTGGGACATAAGGATAAAACTTTGATGTTTTGGCCAAGACCTGAATCCACTCAGAACAGAACGAAATTTGAGTGTCAAAGTACTCGTCAGAACTGTCCAGATTCAAGGCAGTTCTGACGATCAATTTTGTTTTGGTCATAACAGGAGTTACGGAACTCGGATTTCGACGCACTTTATACCGTTTCGAAGCCAAAACCAAGATCTACATTTCTTATGAAGGAGTCACCACCCAGATCGTACGGTATCAAAACCGAAAAAGTCACGGGCAGAAGCTAAACTAAAAAACGCACAGAACCTGATGTTCAAAACAGGCTTGAGTATTTCATCTATAACTCATGATACACTAATCCGTTTAACCTGAAATTTTACAGGAATATTCAGGACTTAAGAGGCTACAATGTTGAAGAAGGCCACTCAGTCAAATTTCGAGTGTAACTACGTCAAAAATGTAACATATTACACCAGAATCGCAAAACAGGTTCACAAACCGTAATCTAGTACAAACATCATAAAACAGCCTACATAAGTCCAAATCCAGAAATTCCAAAGCCATACGAAAGCTTAGAAACAGGGATACATTCTATCAAAAGGCCTCAACAACAAATTCTGAAACAGTCCAAACCAAAATAGCCAATTACAATCGCAGTTCTCAGGTTCGGGTAGAAACAGGACAGCAAGGGTAATTTCGACTTTTCACATTATACGCTACTCCGATTGTCCTGAAATTTTTCAGGCACCTCTAAAATATCATTACCTACAACTTTCATGTTTTAATTTAAGGCCAATTCGGCCTCTAACCAGGAGATACAAAACCGGACAGAATTGAAGGGTATGAAACCCTAGTCTTCCAAATTTTTACCTCCAAACCAAAAAGTGCTTGCAATTAACAATCATTTACACCTACTAGCCTCATTTTAGGCCATTGCCAATCATCATACAAGGCCACACCATCAATTTCATATATAAACAGAAAAATCACCAATAAATGGAAAACTTCACCACTTCATCCAAAATCAAGAAATAAACCACAAAATTCAACATTTTAACTACCACTAAGCACAAATTAAGCTTCATTAAGTGAAGGAGAAGGTTCATTCACTACTCACCTAGTAAAACAAGAGAGAGAGAGTTGCTTGTCACCTTAACTTCCCCAAACACTTCACCAAACCACTTACTATCACCAAATGGAAAGGTTTTATGGAGTAGAAACAAGATCAAATGGTTGGATGATTACACTTAAGCAAGATGGAAGCAAGAACCTTGAAGAGTTTTCTTTCTTCTTTGCTCAAGGTGGCCGGCCACAATGGAGAAGACAATGGAGAAGACAAGAGTGAATTTTTGGTGATTTTTGAGATATTTATTCAACTGGTAAGAAAAGTCAAAAAGGTGAATAGTGTCCAACAAGTGAAACCAATCACCAAGTGACACTTGTCACTCCATAAAAGCATCCCAATCCTTTTGTTTCCTCTCACATCAATCACATCTCATCCTCTACCTATCTCTTAACACCCGATAAATTAAACCCAGTATCCGAAACTTAACGTAATCGGCCGAATTTTTCCGAACTTACCGCACTAGTGGTTCCCACATCCGATATACGTTCTTAATTTCTCAAAAACTAACCGATACTAGAAAAATAATCTAAAATCTATATTTACTCATAAAAATTATCTGGGGAATTTTTCTAATAAAGAAAATGTGGAAAAAGGCGAGCGATAAATAAAACTCTACTTAAGCTTTCTAATATTGTAACACTAGAGGATTGCTAATCCAGAGTTTGCCAACCATTTTCAAACTTGTTAACCCTCTGAAAACTATAACGAATCCTATTTTTACTTGTGCCAAAACACACACTAGAATACCGCATATAAACTATAGCTCGAGCTTACGAATAATACATAAACTAGGGTTTTATCATAAGCAAGGTTTTCAATCTTAGCCGAGATTAGGGTTTCTCCTTAGCCCTAAAACCTTAATTTAATCGTACAAAATAATGAATAACCCTAATATCAACTTACGAACGGACTGGGGCCTCACAGAGGAAGCTTTGGCGCATGGGGAACAGAATTGCGGTGAGATTGAGCTGCCTACCACTGCGGGAAATTTGTCACCAAGGTTAGTAGGGAGTCAGGAGCTACCGTTGGAGTCGTTGGTGGTGCAGTTGAACGTTGATCAATCTGTGGCGGTGGAGCATGGATTTAGACAAGTGCGAGGGAAAGGTGTGCGGGCCCGGCTTCCCTCTGACAGACAGCTACGGTCGGCGACATCCTCCCAAAACTCTTTTCAGGTTCTGTCTCATGATTAACGGCTTTTTTTGGAATATTAGAGGGGTGGCTAAAACCCCTAACTTACGTAGATTGATTAAGTTAGTACGATTGCATCAGGCTAGGTTTGTGGTGATCTGTGAACCTAAGCTAGATGTGTCTAAAATTGTGTCCATTCGTCTAAAATTGTCTTTTGATTGTGTGCTTGTGAATCGATCGAAGGATCTTTGGGTTTTCTATAGTAGTCCCTTTGTGTGTTCGGTTGTGGGGAATTCTGATCAACATATCTCTTTGGCTGTTCAACATCCGCTTTTGCCTAGTTCGGTCACAATGTCCTTCGTTCATGCAAAATGCTCTAGGGATGAGCGTAGGGACTTATGGCTAAACCTTTTAGCTGATAAACCTAGCTCGTCTCCCTGGTGCATTGGGGGAGATTTTAATACCATTCTGGCACCCCATGAGAAACGGGGGGGGGGGCGGCCATTTGGTGTAGCTGAAGGGGTAGAGCTTCTGTCTTTTATGGAAGAGGCTGGAGTTTTTGATGTGGGTTTTTCGGGAGCTAGCTTTACATGGTGTAATAATAGGAGAGGCAGGGCTAGAGTCTCGAAGCGGCTGGATAGGTTTTTAATTAATGGGGATTGTTTGAACTTGTCCACCTCGATTTCTGTAGTGCATTTGGCGAGGCACCCTTCAGACCATGCACCACTGAAGATTTCATTTACCTCACGCTTGGATGATAAACCACGGCCTTTCCGCTTCCTGAATGTTTGGACGTCCAAACCACAAGTTTTGGAGGTGATTCGTAGTGCTTGGGATCAAGAAGTGAGTGGCTCTCCACTGCGGGTATTGTGCTCTAAATTGTTGGCAGCCAGGAGAGCTATTCAGCACTGGAACAAGCATTGTTTTGGCAATGTGTTTGATGTTGTTCGGGGTGCGGAGGCGACGGTTCAAAGGGCAGAGGAGGCCATGGATCACGATGGGTCGGAGGAGGCACAGCTCGAACTCCACAAGGCGCAAGCGGAGTTACGTCATGCGCTGTCCGTTGAAGAGCAGTTCTGGAGTCAAAAGGCTCGAGTGAAATGGCTTCGCAGTGGAGATCGTAATACTAGATTCTTCCATGCAGTGGTGAGGCAGCGACGGGTTCAAGGTACGATTCATAGGATAAAGGCAGCCAGTGAGGTGTGGGTGGAGTCGGATGAGGATATAGCGAGTGAGGCAATAGCATATTTTTCTGACCTATTCTCGGGCACGTCAAGACCCGCCTCGGATATGTTGTACCTTATTCCACCGGTGGTCTCAGGTGAGGACAACAGGATCTTAGAGGAGGCACCTACTATTGAGGAGGTTCATCGGGTGGTGAAGGCAATGGATGGGGATAGTGCTGCCGGACAGGATGGCTTCACAGGCAAATTCTTTACCTTTGCGTGGGAGGTTATTGCTCAGGACGTCTATGCAGCGGTACTAAGTTTCTTTTGTGGGGCAGAACTGCCTCGTTTCATCACTTCTACCTCGCTTGTGTTGATTCCTAAGGTATCTAGTCCTCAGGATTTCTCTAAATTTAGACCGATTAGCCTATGCAATTTTTTCAACAAGTTATTATCTCGAATTTTGGCTGATCGATTGGCGGGCATCTTGCCAAAGCTTATCTCCCCTCAGCAGACAGGTTTTGTTAAGGGCCGCAATATAACAGAGAATTATTTGCTTGCTCAGGAAGTGGTTTCGGGAATTGGGAAAAAAGTTAGGGGTGGAAACGTAGTGTTGAAGCTGGACATGGCTAAAGCTTATGACAGGGTGTCATGGTTGCATATCATTGGAGTCTTACGAAGGTTTGGGTTTGGGGAGCAGTTTATAGATCTGGTGTGGCGGCTATTGTCGAATGTTTGGTTTTCGGTAATAATTAATGGCTCTTCATATGGTTTCTTCAAATCTACGAGAGGGCTCCGCCAGGGGGACCCGTTGTCGCCGGCTTTGTTTATTATAGGGGCTGAGGTTCTGTCGAGGGGCTTAAACAACCTTGCGTTGCAGCTGGGTTTCTTGGGGTTCAGAGTTCCGTACGGGTGCCCCCCAGTAACGCATTTGGCATTTGCGGATGATGTTCTTATATTTGGGAATGGGTCTGTTTCCTCCTTAAAGGACATCATGCAGGTGCTGGAAGGCTATCAAGAATGTTCGGGTCAGCTGATAAATGCTCAGAAAAGTGGGTACTTGGTTCATCCTGCTTTGGCGCCGGCCAGAAGAAGAGTGATTGAGCACGTCACGGGGTTTGTCTGGCAGGCTTTTCCCATACGCTATTTGGGATTTCCGTTATATTTTGGGAGGTGTAAGTCGTCATACTTTGGGGAGGTGTGTCAGGCAATCTTGCAGAGGATTTTGTCGTGGAAATCAAAGCTATTATCTGCAGGAGGTAAGATCGTTCTAATCAGGCATGTGTTGTCCGCAATCCCAGTCCATTTACTATCGGCTGCTGTGCTCCCTTGCTCGGTGTTCGGCATTCTAGAGAAGGCTTGCTCAAACTTTCTATGGGGTTCATCTCCTGACGAAACAAAGTTTCATTGGATTCGGTGGTCTCAGTTGTGTTTCCCGGTAGAGGAGGGCGGGCTGGGGTTTCGGAGGCTTGAAGACGTCTATACAGCCTTCTCTTGTAAATTATGGTGGACCTTTCGAACAGGGAGGTCGGTATGGGCGGCATTCCTGCGCGCAAAATATTGTAGAGGACTTCACCCCTGCCAAGCACAATTGACGCTGATTGCGTCGCCGGTCTGGCGACGGATGATGAACGTAAGCCGACAGGTCGAGCTCTCTATGTTATGGCTAGTAAATGATGGGTCTTGCCATTTTTGGTACGACAATTGGTTGGGTAGTGGTGCCTTGTACCTTCGCGCACCAGTCATCCCGCATCTCTCGTTTCTTAGCAGTATCAAAAATGGGGCTTGGGATGTGAGTTTTTTATCTCACCTTTTGCCTAGTGACATTGTGACTTCTATCCTACACCACCCGGTTCCAGCGGGAGGATGCGCAGATGAAGTAATTTGGATGCCCACACAGTCTGGAAAATTCACCTTGGCGTCAGCTTTCCATGACGTCAGGCAGTCCCGTAATACGTCTGTGGTCCTCTCTCGAGTTTGGCACCCTCGACTCCCATTGAAAGTGTCTTTCTTTATGCTCCGCTTGCTGATGGGAAGGGTGCCACTGCCAGATATGCTACGCCGCCTAGGTTTTCACTTGCCATCGAAATGCCCTTGCTGCCCAGGGGCAGTTGAGGAATCTCTTGAGCATGTTTTTGCCGGGGGTCACATAGCTTTGGACATCTGGAACTATTTTGGTGGCTGGTGTGGTGTTAGGAGCTCTGGATCCTCCCTGCGTGCTCGCATAGTTGAATGGTGGTTGCGGTCGCAGCAGTCTGCAACACGGCAGTTCATTTGTTTAATCCTTCCCAGTCTCATCTGCTGACACATTTGGAAAGCCAGGAATAAAGCGGTATTTGAGGGGGTCCCGATGGCCTCCACGAAGATTTGTCAGGCCATATTCTCGGAGATCAAAGTCATTATAGAGATCCAATTCAAGCTTAAGACTGGGGCGAAAACATTTGGGCAGTTGTATGACTGGGCGCAATTGCCCGTCTGTATAGTCCAACGTGTTCGCTGGGAGGTGAGGGGGAGTGGGACGCTTACCCATAATGTTGATGGTTGCGCTAAGGGGAATCCTGGAGTGGGTGGAGGCGGTGGGGCCCTCCGAGATGCAACGGGGTTGCCTCTGTTTGCCTTTTCGGCCTTCTTTGGGGAGATCACTTCCCTACAGGCGGAGGTTCGGGCCCTGCTAACTGGGCTTCAATTGTGTATCCACAGGGGCTATGGTAATCTAAATCTCCAATCGGATTCGTTGGTCGTAGTTGGGATTCTGAAGCGGCGGTTCCAGTGTCCATGGCGGATCCGTCGAGAGGCCAGGCAAATTTGGCAGCTAGTGGATGATTCGGCTCAAATCTCGCATTGTTACAGGGAGGCTAACACCGTGGCGGATGTTTTGTACAAAATAGGCGTCTCTCATCCTGAACAGCATATTAAGGTCTACGACAATTTCCACGCTCTTCCGGCATTGGCTCGTGGGGGGGTCAGATTAGATAGGTTAGGGGTGCCTTCATTTCAGAGAAGTAAGCGTTTGTAAGCAGAACTTGTGATTGGTTTGCTTTCTTGATGAATAAAATCATATTTCCTTAAAAAAAAAAAATGCAAAACAATAACTATAACCACAAGTCTAAAATTTAAGTAGCAAACTCTATTTATATAGCAAAGTAAGAGATTTATAATTAGTAAGTAAGATAAAATTACTCATGCACAATGTATAGTTTTAAGTTCTCACTTGGTTAAAGTTTATAAAATTCCCAACTTACTTGTATCTCTTTGCAACTAATTCCTTCGAGCAGAACTTGTGCCCATCACTCACTTTCTCTCAATTTATTTGGGCTATATAACTATGTTGTAGGCTATGTTTTCAGCCATGTGTGACCCTATTTATATAGATGAGTTTTGAAGAATTTCTTAAAATCTAAGGACCTCAATATGCCGCCTAATTGTCATAGTAGATTAGGAAAAATATTGTCAACTTGTGTGGCCAATAGGGAACTTTCCTTTCCTTAGCTATCTTATCTAGTAGATAGGTCAGCCATATCAACTGACTTTAGTATGAAGCTACTATTACATGAATAAACTAAGACTATATAGCAACAACTTATTGTCAATTAGTTTGTGGTTCCAAATACAAGCTTGACACCGACATTTGCCTTTATACAATACCATCAAGTAAGCTATTGATAGAAACTCTATCAAGAAATTATTTGAATTATCATTATATTATAGTATTCCATGGGAACCTTATTTTACAAGAGAAGATACCATGCCCATGCACTAGTCATAAATTAAGAGTATATCAACCACTCCTATGTCTTCCACTACTATTTTGTTTGAGAGGATTTGATACGAACTACACCTTATTACAGACGTAACCCGTAACATGACAAGCCCCAAATATCGAGAATGAATATCAAGGTTTGAGTAGCAGAAATCTAAACATTTAGGGACAACTCAAAAAAGTTAATATTGGTAGACGATGCCATAATTAAGGTGACTACTTGATTGGTAAGTTGATGAGCACCTTAGGAAATACTCGAAGATGTTCAAAAGAAATTTTAAGAAACCAAAAGAATTGTTTCACTCAAGAAACTATTACTGGAAAATATCACTTAGTCGTCCTATTAATCTTCTAAAAGTTGGCTATTCATAGCTAAGTTACAAACTAAACGGGCCAAGACTTAAACCACCTAACTAACTAACTAAGAAGCTAATTAGGGCTCAACTTAACATAAACTAGCCAATTTTATTAACCACCTAACTAACTAACTAAGAAGCTAATTAGGGCTCAACTTAACATAAACTAGCCAATTTTATTCACCTATCTAAAAGGGCCAAATGAATTGATTAAAACAAGTAACTATGTAGATCCAACTTACATGCAAGTTGACCCAAATTTATTCTCAACATAAATGACTAAACTAAGTAGAATAAGTAAGCTAGAAATGACCAAAATAACAAGCAAGTTAATCCACTTCTTGGCTTCATGAACTTTGGTTTATGGTGGATCCAACATCAACATTTTCAATGCCTTGATTTGGAACTTAGCTTGCAAGACCGTGAGCAACAAAAATCCTAGGAATTTGAGAAATTGATTCCTTTAACTTCACTCGAATGATAGTAATAGAAGACATTTCCCCATACTCGAATCCTAACAACCAGATCAACACTTGGACAGCCCTCGTACTCATATTATTCCCCGTCTCTTGAGAAGGATTTGTCCTCAAATCTAGACAGGAAGTAGTTAATGATAGAAGTAACATTACACATCTTCCATCTAGATCAAAAATCATAGTAAAGAAGCAAATGGAATCCATGCACCAATGTTGAAATCTCCCATATTGGTGCACTTAGATTGAAGCAAGCACAAATAAGTCGTAGTAATAACAATGCTCCTTGCATGCCTTTTGTATAGCTTAAATTGAAACAAGTGATGAGCAATATGCTTCCAAAATTCTTTGGAGGACCAATAATGCTGCAATTGAAATGCTATAAAAGAAATAAAGTAGCAACTGGTATCTTGAAGTTGCTCTACACCAATTCATGCAGTTCTCCATTTTCCACTGAAGTAAAATCCTCCAATGCCTCCAATTTGGGCGAATTAGAAGCATCAAATCCTTGCAACACATTTATTAGTCCTTTAACCATTAAACATGTCTCAACAATCATAGTTTCAAAACCTACATTCAAAACAAAATAATCAACTTGTAACATTCCATCAAAATTAGATAATGACAATAGAGGAACACTAGTATAACTGAATCTAATTGATAGAAATGATGTAACTGTTAGTTTTATCCATGGAAAACTCTCATCTCCTTTGGTAGATAGGATGCAAATATGTTGCAACTCTCTATAAATGGACGGCAAGAATGCACAATTGCATAATTCAGCACACCAAGTAAACCCCTAACTTGCCAAGGATCAACAAATACACTAGGCAAAAGTACAAGATCTTTTCCCTCATTCTCTAAAACTAACTCACTCTTACTCATTTTAAAACTCAACTCAATTTCTTTCTCTTTCTCACTCAACTCACTTGATTGTTTACTTGTTTTTTCTTTTGCAATTCTATCAAGTTTTACCTCTTGTTCACTCTCAAGTATTACATTATTGCTTACACACTTATTTAGTACATCATTTTTCTCACATAAATCCTCTCCAACTAGCTCTTGATAACTAGGTAATGTAGGTTGAACTTCACGATCATCGTCTCAACAAAATCCTTTATAAGAGATTTTTGGCTATTGCAGTCACTTTGCTTCTTCATTTGCTTTTGTTGTAGAAGGCGTTGGTAGATATCTCATATGGACTCCTCCTTTAATGGCTCAACTTCAGGCTTAGATTTCGAAGAAACTGATGAATTCTCTTCCATTTGCTCACCATGCTTTGACCTATGTCGAGATATCTCATGTTCCACAGTTCAGTTGAGGTCGTGACAATTTCCAAGTGAAGTTCCTTTGGTTGAGGATGAACTATGAGTAGATACTTGATGTGACCACCTAAGGTTCTCCTCGAACTCTTCACACGTGCTTCTATATCTCCGGTATACTCGTTCGGCATGAGCCCGACCCATCTCTTTCTTGAGTGTATGAAACTCATGCTTTTGTAATTGATACACTTGTTTGGGTGATAAAGTTTGTGAGCAGGATATTCAATCTAGTTTTGTTGTCCCAAGTTTGCCAACATTCATTCAATATGGACTCTATCATAAGAATAGGGTCAAAAGTGGATGATTCTTCTCCTTTAGACATATTAAGGTAACCTGCAAAAGAGTTAGCAAAAGAAACAAGTGTATTCCTCGCAACACTCCCTCACATGTTTACTCCCGGCACTCGTGTATCACTAAAAAATTTGGCACTCTAATAATTTCACCAAAACAGATTCTTAAGGCCCTTACTTGCCTCCCTTAAGAAATTAGAGTTATTCCTCAAGACAAATCAACCAATCAATTCAGTCCTCAAGATTGTAGCGAAATTAGGATTTTCGGGACACACCTTGAGAAAAACGACTAAGATTGATTTTTGGACAAAAATGGCTTCATTTTACATGAAATAATTACTGAAAATCTACTAGAAATCTACTTGAAATTTCAAAGGAACTAGTTGGAAACTAATGACTTAAATAAAGAATGAAAAAAGAACTACCCAACTTGACTATGACACTAATGAAGGAAAATTTTATGTGTGAGCTTGTATTAGACAAGGAAATATGGAAATCTACCCTTTTCCTAACTAAACAAGGATTTAGAACCCCACTTGGCTGATTCCAATGGAGTTTAGGACAAGAATTTTTTAATTTGACAAGCTATGGACAAAATCCGATTCACACTAGGAAAAGTGCATGGTAGTGGCTTCCATGAGACATAACATGGGCTGAATTTGGACAAAAAAGAATCGCAAAATTTAAGGGTCAAAAGACTCTAAAATATGATCAAAAAATGACACAAACAAATGAGAACAAATGGGACAACAATCGAGTTCCAATGGAATTAAGAAAATTGACAAAAACCTGGAAAATTTGATGTAGCAGATGGTTTGGTAAACTTGAAGTATTTTGGAAATTTGAAGGGTTTATATTGGTTATTCAGCCCCCTTTACTTCCAAATTTAATGATTGGAATCTTGTTTTGCCCCAATCCAATGAGTATTTGGCCAACAAGATGCAAAAATAGAAACTATTTTGCTGTTTTCCAACTCTGATTAGGAAATGAAGATGCGCGGCTGTTTCTTTATTTGTTTCCAGCCACAATGTGACAGCCTCACCTTCCCCTAGGGCGAATCCAAGGGTTTGGCGAATCCAAGGGTTTCTTTATTTGTTTCCAGCC